GGGTGACATCCAGTGACATCCATAGACAGTGACATCTGAACCGATCCAATTAATATCAGGAGTTTGTTTCTAATTTTATGCAAAATTGTTATCTTTTTTATTATTTTAACCATTTATCATTAATGGTAAATAAATATACAATCCACAAGAATAATAGTGCATAAATTGAGAAGCCCTGCAAGAAAGAAAGGCTAAAGAAGATACAGTTTTAAATAAGACTCTTATTCTGGTATAAAAAATGGAGAGTGAACAATTTTCTTTATCGTGGAATAATTTTCACAGTAATTTAAGTGCCGGATTTCATTCGTTATTACAAGATGAAGATCTGGTTGATGTTACTTTGGCAGCAGAAGGGCAGTACTTGAAAGCCCACAAGACCATTCTATCTGTGTGTAGTCCTTATTTTAAAGAATTATTCAGAGTAAACCCTTGCAAACATCCCATTGTAATATTGCAAGATGTAAACTATAGTGCATTAAAAAATCTATTACAGTTTATGTACTATGGAGAGGTGAGTGTCAGCCAAGAAGAAATTCCTATATTTATGAGAGTTGCAGAGACTTTAAAAGTAAAGGGTCTCACTGACACTGTAAGTATTTTTGTATTTGTGCTTGTTAGGCATGTAATACTAATCTGGTTTTAATTGGAGGGCTCAAATGGTTTTTTGGAAAGAATGACAACTGAACATATAGAAACAAGACCTGCTGAAAGACATCACAAACCTTCTAAAAAGATTATCAAACATGTACAATCAAGATCAACAGAGAGTCCACATTCTTCATACTCATCTCATCCCAGTGAGTCTCCAAGACTGGTTAAATCACCTGAACCAACACCTGTCAAAAGAAAGTTCACTGAAGAATCCAGTTCAGAAGTTATTAATAAAGCAATGCTGAATCCTAAAGAAGAGCCTGTAGAGCAAAATGAAGAATACACAGACTTATCATATGATGACAGTTTAGACATGTCTTCAATGTTGAATACTTCTATCACAGAGTCCCCTCATCCTTCAGGCAGCTGGATGCCACCTAATCAGACACAGTCGATGACAGATACCTCAAGTCCTGGTAATTTTTTCTTTTTATATTTTAAAATAGGTACCTGTCTGAAAATTCTTGCATTAGTAGTTTTAGTTCATTTTTCTCTTACATGGTTTAAAAAATGTGTTTTACCATATCATTTAAGGCTTTCTCTATATAAATTTAAATTTTATCTTGGCTTGCAATGTAATATTTTAGCCATCATTTACTAGTTTTAATTAATTGTTGTTTTTGTTATTTTTATTCGGTTTTGAAACATTTTAAGCAGTAGAAAGAACTGAATCAATGTAAAATAATACATTAACAACATTTAAATACCTAATCATTCATGTTCATTACCTTCACAGCTTCTGTTACAATACATCACACAATTTATATACTTTTATTGATAGAAATTGATTTTAAGGCATGCACAAATTATATTTACGTAAACATTTACTTATTTGCTATTCTATGGGCATCTTCTGATAATTTTTAGTTTACTTTGGGCATAAAAATTAAATGGAAAACATATTTTGCTACCTGTGGGACTTAGTAGAAAGCCAGTTAAATTTATTTTTCCTTTATATTATTTATTTTTGTGGCGAGTGCCGGTATTTAAATGTGTTAATGTATTATTTTATACTTAGGTACGCTCCAATGCATTCTTGGAAGGAGGGGAAATCCCCGATTGATCGTCGACGGACACACTTTCTTTAAGAAAAGTGCATATAAAGGAAAATCATTCTGGTATTGTAAGCACAGTCGAAGCCCCTACAAATGCGTCGCTGTCTGCTGGACTCTGCATGGGAATATCGTCAAATGGCCTTGTGAACACAACCATCCCGTCATTGCAGAACCATTCAATCCCGAAGAAGACACCGACGTTCCAATCGAGAAATTGCAAGAAGTTTTGATACAGACATCCTACGCGAATAGAAGTGACTTCTAAATTTTTCGATTTTTACAATTTTATTCCTTTCTTATAAGTGAAAACATTTTATTATTATTATTATACTTATATGTAATTATTATGATTTATTAATGACAATGATCAGTTAGATGGTAAGAAATCGAAGTTTTAGTTTTCGTTTTACTTTTAATTATGAATATTTTTCGTCTATTTACCTTAGTGTTCTTTTTATATATAAGCATGGGAAGTAAAACACATTTTTTTATTGTGAAAGTCTTTATTATATTCTCTAGCAAAATAAAACTTGTTCAAACTGTAACAAATTAATTAAACTAATGTATGTTAAGACAAGGGCCAAGAAGATTATATTTATAGGTAATTATTTTTAAACGACTAACTTAATTAAATTCCTTTTTAATTGTTTTAAATTTTTTAGGTGGTCTCCTTTTTATGAAAAGTCGAAGAGGTCACCCAGTGGTGATTCACAACGGTCACATCTACACCTTGTACCAAAAATTTGAGAGTAGAACGACTTGGCAGTGTGTGAAAAGACGTGTTTTTAATTGTACAGGTTGTATTATTACAACAAATGGACCGATGGTGCTTTCCTTTAGCGGTCACAATCATCCACAACTCAACGACATCATCCAAAGGTTACATGCGCCCGCTTGTAGTTCAACTTTATTGCCATAAACTTGTTATTATGTGTTTCATCACGAAAGGACTTACGATTAATAATAAGTAAGTTAAATTGTTTATAAGTACTTGTGTCATAAAACTATTATCTCGTTGAAAAAAATAAATGTTAAATTATTGATAGTTTCTAGCTTTGTTCACAGTGAATAAATAGAACACTTTTCAAAAAAGTTTGAAAATGTGATTCATGTACACGATATGTTTTAACAAGTTTCAAAATCCTTGAATAATTTACTGTAGGTGATAAGAAACGAGTAATAATTAACAAGGACACAAACCCACTTTAGTAACAAAATCGTCGTTTAAAATCAATGTCATGAATTCAAATTTACTTCTTTTATGTTGTCTAAAAACAATTTACTATTCTTTACAAGGTAATTTTAACAAATGTATTTCAGTTTTGAAAATTTAGACTTTTGTACTTATTATGGTTTAATACTTGTAAATAAAAATCGTGGTAGAGTCGCCCTCTTGTGGAAGACCCTATGGAGGCCCCGGCCCTAAAATTGTTGGGGGATACGACGTAGGATATTATAAATATCCTTGGTACGCCGCTCTTATTTTAGAAGGTGAAGTTTTTTGTGGCGGTTCTTTAATAACAACTAAAACTGTGATAACGGCAGCTCATTGTTTTAAACCTTTTATTTCGTTAGTGATGTAAGTAGGGGGCAAAAATATTTAATTTTGCTACTTTAACATTGTCTACAAACTAATTAATTTTTTTATTTTGTAGCAACAATGATTCCTTTAAACTGGAAGACGTATTTATTGTCTTTTTAGGAATAAATAACGTCTGTAGGTACGAGGACGATGTAAGAAAATTCAGAACACAAAAAGTGTACATTCACGACGATTACATAGATAATATCCCTTACAATGATATAGCACTTGCGGTTTTACATAGGGATGCGAGTACATTCACCCCCGTTTGCTTGCCAACCCCTAGCAAGTTCTATAAACTTTTTCTTTAAAATTTATTAAGAATCATTCACGTTTTGTAGATCATGTTGGTGGATTAGATTTAAAAGAGGGTTTTGTTGAAGGTTTTGGGGCCATATTTTACAGTGGTCCTGATTCCTGCACTTTAAAAGAGGCAAGGGTTCTTATATATTCAGATTACAGTTGTAAAAAGATGATTGAAAATACTGGAAATGATCCAGACTATGTAAAAAAGGCTTTTTGTGCTGGCTATTTGAGTGGTGGAATTGATACATGTCAGGTAAATTAACAAAATTAATTGCTATTTAGTGTTTTTAATTAGTTTTTGTACTACTAGGGAGACAGCGGTGGACCACTTTTAGTAGTGGGTAAACATGGTGAATATGTTTTGGAGGGTAATGAAAATGCACCAACTCTGATTTTATACTTTAGTAGTAACTTTGTATTATTTAGGAATTGTGTCTTTCGGTTTTGGCTGTGCAGAGAAAGATTTATTGGGAGTTTATACCAATTTGTCTGAGTTTTTACCTTGGATCAGGGCTAAATTAAAGACAGAAAATGTCAGACAGGAAAATTTCATTGAAACTACAACTCTAGGTAAATAGAAAACAATTTAACTTGAGAAAATATCTCGTTTTATAATTTTAGGGGATGTAAAAAATATGCGGAGACGCAGAAGGAAAATGAAAAGACGAAAACGAAAAAGATTTCAAATTATGTATTATTACTAAACAATTTGAAAAGTTCCAAGTAAATTGAAATGTAAATACTATTTCTTTTAATTTAATAATAGATTAAAATAACGTTTCCCCAATCCCTAGTATTATTTTATGAAAACATACAATTATGTAAATTTTCAATATCATTTACCCTCTGTTTAGCTCTTATTTTCTCTTTACGATAAGCCTCATAGTTTTCATCATCAGTTGGAAGTTCATGTCTGCACAAGGGGCAGCTGTTAGTCTACACAGAAATATAACAATTTGCATCTCAACAATTTTAGTCTATAAACTGTCATACCTTTGTAAGCCATCGCTTAATACATTCTGGATGAAACAGGTGGTCACATGGCATCTTAACAGCTGAACTTCCTTTCTCGTAATCCTTGAGGCATACTGGACACTGTTTACCTAAATAATTAAAACAGAATGTGATCTAATTAAAAAAAAAATAGATTTCTAATTACCTTCTTCATTAATTGATACTTCAGGTAAATTATTAACAGCTTCTATCGATGCAGGGGGTGGTAAACGTTGTGTCTCTCCCAATTCTTCAAACATATTGTAGTCTATAAAAAGCCTCACCAAGTGTAGCAAATGGTTGGGAGCTTCGCCCTCTGCTAGTGGGCTCCATCCCATTTCTTGAAAATAATCTGCCATGTTAAGAAAATTTTACTGTCCGTCTGTGATGGCACACAAAATACGTAAAAAAGTTAACTGAGGTCACAATTACAAAGCATTTTTTAAAGAAATCAAACAAGAATAGTTAAAGTGACAGTTAAGGTTAAAAAGCAGGTTATGTGTTGTAAAATTAAAATACCTGGATACGTTGACATTTGATTTGACGTTTATATTAGTGGAACGTGCGTTAGACAAGCAGACCTTTGGATAAAAAGCGACTGCAATATATTTGAAGCCTGTTTTGCATTTAATTTTGGTGTTTTCGTTGAAAACATTCCTATAATTCTGTCATGTCAAGGAAAATTTTACAATCAATATTTCTGTTGTGATATACTATGTAAGTGTGTTCCTTGTTTACTAACTCTTATTCTAGAAAATAACATATTTCTATTTTAGTTAATAAAAACCCTCTGACCTTACGTCAAGGTAAATGCATTTGGTTTTCTGCAACATTGCTCCTTGTTAATTGTGAATTTTTGTTCACTACATAGCTGTAGTGCAGAAATTGTAAGCAATGTACCCCATTTGGTTGCTGGCGGCTTTTTTTGTAGGGACTCTAGACTGTATTCCAGTGAATGGAATTAGTAACACTTGTCCTGGTATAAAGACATCAAAACTAGTTCATGCAGACTTTTTAATTGGCTGTGCTAAAAGAAATACAGGAACTGTCAGTGAGAAATTGTGTATATTATATGAGGAAATATTAAAGCAATTGTGCACTTCAGTTAAAGATAAAAAATTGCTTTTTTCTGATAGTGACCTTGAAAAAGCACTACAATCTACAGACATTACAAAAGTATGTGATGTTTTAAGTACATTCAAGTTAGATGATGTTGCTAGAACGAGAGAGATTTTGTTACCCATAGCTGATCATCACTGTTTTCGGACCTGTCAGAGTGATGACTATAAAACTCTGCCTATTTGCAACTACGGAGCTTATATGTTAAATATTGTTAATGCACTTTCTTCCCATCCTGCTTTAGATGATAGTCATCCTAAAGAAGAAAAAAATAATACAAGTATCAATACCACTAATACAAATTCATTCCAAAAAACTGGTAAGTGCAAATTAATTTTTAATTTTTGAAATGAGTAGAAACAGGATATAAAAGCATTTATCTTAAACTAATAAGGATTTGGCATTTTAGGTAATAATAATTCTAAAGTTATTAGCCACTCAACTTCAGGTAGTTCACCTGCTTCTAATAAGGATACCTTACAACTCCATCCTACCATTAATAACAAAACTCTAAGTAGTAGAAATGAATCAAAACCAGGCACTTCTCTTTCATCGAATAATATTACTAAAGTGGTCACTGACGAGAAACAAACAAATGTAGCAATAGCTAGTGATAAACTAAATAATCCTAATAAAGTTAGTGTGTCTAATAGGACTGGGACTCATGGTAAACCCTTAAATTATTCAAATTTGGATAGTCATGGGAGTAATCCTGCAGGAAAACATGACCAAGTTCCTTCTTCAGAAGGCCCAGAGAAAAACAGTCAAGATGAAAAGGTTCTCCACAAAATACAGAGTGACAGAGATGAAGTAGCATCAAAAGTTTTACCTGATGTTCATGTTAGTAATCCAGAAAGTTTGGGTTCAGAAATACTTGTGGATCCTGAAAAAGCAAAAACAGACAAAGATGCAAAGGCATCAAAAGTTTTACCTGATGTTCATGTTAGTAATCCAGAAAGTTTGGGTTCAGAAATACTTGTGGATCCTGAAAAAGCAAAAACAGACAAAGATGCAATGACATCAAAAGTTTTACCTGATGTTCATACTAGTCCAGAAAGTTTGGGTTCAGAAAAACCTGTAGATCCTGAAAAACAAAAAAACCAAAACCAAAAGCTTGATGAGCTGGACACAAATGGAGTTGTCAGACCTCAAGAAGTTGTTAATAATAATGGAGTTAGTGGAGCAGATGACACACTTAAGCAACAGAATTCTCAGGGACAAAACAAGGAAACGGTGAGCTTGCAGGGACTAAATACAGAAATGGTAAACCCACAAGAACAATTGCAATTAGAAGATAACGATTTGGAGGATGATGATAACGATTTACGTAAGAAATAGGGTATTAAAATTAAATTCATTCTAATTGGATGTACTTTGCAGAAGTTCCAAGTGATTTTAACGTTAATAGTGAACCCATTAAAACAACTAAAGAGGGTAAATAATACATTTTTTATGAGTTGATAAAGATAACAGTATACCTTTTGCAGTGGAAAGAAAACCAATTAAAACAGAATATTCGGATGTGGACATAATGCCACACAGTTTTAAGACAGAGAACAGTGATGATGGGGATTCTTATTTCTTTTCTTACTTTATGGTCATTTGTATAGTGTTCATTGGTGGCTACGTTGTTTATCACAATAAACAAAGGGTAAATATCCATATTTGTAATTTAATTGCTCGTGTTTTTTATTATTCTTCTGTGGTTGCAGATTTTAGCCCTGATTGTTGAGGGAAGAAAGGGTCGGAGAGGCTCAAGGAGTAGAAGACCGAATTCAGCAAATTATAAAAAATTAGACAGTAATCTTGAAGAAGCAATAAGTTCATCTTGTAACAAAGGTGCTACACATGTTATTTACTGATACATAAATGTTTAGTGTTACTTTCATTTAGTTCAAATTGTACATTTACTTGTATTAATTTGTTTGTAATAAAATAATTAAAATAAGGAATGTATATTGTACTTGAATTAGGCAATGCCTTACAAGTGCCACATAATGTAGTTTAACTCGCTTTTTACCATGTAAACGATTAAATAATCTTGTTTAAAGACATGTTAAATTATTTTTAGGTTATGGTGGAAACAAATCAAAAATTTTGTATGAAAATACACACAATATTAATACTTACATATTAAAAAAGTTGTTTTAATTACTATTTAAAAGCATTTTGTAGCTAAAACTAACTAAAAGTTCGGATTTAAAGCTTTAAACGGTTTCTTTTGAAAATAACAATGTCGGAGAAGTGTTTGCCACATTATTTGATGTAAATACACTTGTATAATGGGACACATTATTAAACAATTACTGATTTCACTTCTTTTGTGTCAATTTATCAAAAATTCACTTAAATTTGATGAGAAATTGCAAATAAATACAATTTTTGTTAAAATAATGACAGTTGTCGTTTAAAAACTTTGCATTTGTAACGACACTTTTGATTGGCTAAACGCAAGTAAACAATCATGGATTCCATGATGGCCGCCTTCATTCAAAAAGTTTTACTATTTCGTTCATATTCAAAAGTAGGTCAGTAGGCAAGGATATTGTAGTAAAAATCATAACAAAAGTTGCATATTTTTCAAATTTTGTGTAAGTTGATACTCGGCAATTATCGAACCGATTTGATTGCAGTTTGGACTGTTAGAAAGAGGGTTTTTTAAATATTTAGACTGCCAAATATAATAAAAATCCTTTTTGATTATTGCTATTTTTAAGACGGGTATATAAAACACTTCATGATTAAATAAAAGTATTGGCACGTATTAGTATCTTACTTTACGTTGATAAAAAGGCCAATATTGGTTTATATTATGCTTTATAATCGCGTTACTATCAATTTTACTGTATTCAACGGCATTTTAAATAAATTTTAATTTAAAAAGAGACTTATTATTATCATTACTTTTACAGTATTATATATTCTACAATCAAATCAATCCTATTATTATTGAATAAATTGTGGATTGCACCTTGTATAATCCACTGACGTGTTATTTTTAAAACAAAATACGAGGTGCGTACATTTATTTTAATTCATTCGGCATTTTTATGAATGAAATTGATTGTATTATTCAATTTACCCTCTTATGACTAAATTACCATTTACTCTACCGCAGGTTCACTTTAGAAATCGTTAAAAGTACAGACTATATTATTTTTCAAGAAAATAAATAAAAGTTTGTAGGCAATAACGTAGTAAAATTATTTATTTATAATATACCTAACATATCTTTATTAATAAGTCTATCTAGATGTGAATACTTATTCATCGTTGGCAGGTGATTTAACATTAAAACCTTTCGACACGCTCCTATGACCTCCACGCGTTTTTTACAGTGTTTTTTGCGTTCAGCTTATCGCACGGCTTTTGTTTGTAAGTAATATGAAATAATATCAAGTTTTTTCTTGAATCGTAAGATGCCTGGGGTATTTTACGGTAAACAAAGCCACGATTCTTGTGCACAGTTGTATTTAGCGTGTGTATTTATAACATTTATTAATCTTAAAGTAGTAATATACTTATCTACTTTTAAGAAAGTTTGAATATTTCAGTTTCGGTGCATACTAATTACTATCCTTTTAAGACGTTTTAAAACTAACGTTAAAGTACGCGTTGATACTTTAATAATTGTATGAATCCCGTTAGTTTTACGTAAAAAATAATCTGCCTTGAACTTTATTAACAATGTTATAATATGTGTACATATAATAATACCTTCGTGTGTGTAATTACAAGGTATATTTTCGTAGACCGATAAGAACGGTAGTGATAACGTTAAAATAGTTTTGTGTGTAAACGAAGTGAAGTGATAAGGTTTTTAGACGTTTTTAGATTCTATCTAACTATTGTTATAGTCACAGACTTGAAATTGGTTCAAGTCCTTAAGGAGCTTATATGTACAGGTAAGTAGAAAAAGTATTTTACTTCAGAACAAAAATATTTTCGTTTTGAATTTTTACCCATATTGGGGAATATTTAATAATTAAGAAAGTCTTGAAATATATGATATACTGAATTGATTTAAAAAACAAGTAAAGAAATTAATTAAAAGCTTTACTAACTCTCGTATTCGCCACAGTAAAAGACTTGACTGACTTAAAAATAAAAATTGGTTTATGCACGGTGAAGATAAACATTCTTATTCGATATTGTTTTTTTCCCAAATAATGTATGGTTGCTGATCTTCTTTCGTAGACAAATGCTTCAACGAGCAATTGTTTTTGTTTAGTTTCTTTTATTCAAGTGGAAGATGGAATTTTTCTGTTCGTAATCCTTTTGCGTGAATAGGTGTTTGAAGTTCGAACTTTTAAGGGAAAACATGAATTAGTTAATCTGATAATGCAATTCCCGAATGTTTTTTCTTTTCAAAAGTTTGTTTTCGGTTTGACCCACTTCAAGTGTTGTTACATCCCAATTTTAACAACTCCAAATAGATTTTCTTAATGATCCGTAACAAATAGCATATCTATGCGATGTTACTTGAAATCTAGAGCTTCAATAATTCGGACAGAGTTTGTGAAGCGTCTATTTTGATCGATGATTACAAAAGTTGCGTATGTATACATATACAGATACGTAAAACATTTGCTTGTGTTGTCTGGCTGTATGTACGTACACATGCATATTACATGTATTTGGCTATGAACCAGGAAGAAGTCAGCCACGATTATGATGCGCCGACGCTCATTTTTTTTGTACATTGTTGTGTCGCGGTTTTATCGCGAACTTACGATTAGATGACGGAGGAATGGACCGTGGTGTTAGAAGGGGGTCCCCCGTGGGGCTTCCGCATTGTTGGTGGTGTTGACAAGGGTCAGGAACTTCACGTTTCCAGGGTGAGTTTTGTGGCGTGCTCCTAGCCGAAGTTAAACAAACAAATACGACCCAAACGCAATAGGAATAGGTAACTCGTGTTGTTGTATTTTACGCAGGCGTGATAACAAATACAAAATCGATATTCCATTTCATGTATGCCCCGTTTTTGTAGTTTTACTAATTTTTTTTTGTGATAAAGTTAACTAATCACATAAATTCAAAAACTATTGTAGAAAAAATATCTTTCGAATAAACAATGTCTTAACTATACTTTACACGTAACACATTATATTTGGGACTGACAAAAATTGATTTATGCATATCCATTTGAAGTACCTAAGTACGTAGAAAAACTTTTTACCGTCAGTTTTTGTAATATGATATACTAGGGGCGTAAAATACTCCGATAACAAAGAGCTGCAACCGTAGTATACGTGATAACAATAAATAGTCTTTCTCTTGAGTTACAATAATGTAGTAGCAGTTTGTTTTTAACAAAAAAGAAACGAAAAAATGAACAACTTACGGGTGCTTTGCTTCGTTTGTTTTCGTTAGTCAACTGTTTCCGATTCGTGCTAGAAAATGTTGAAATTTCGTATTTCTTCAAAAAACAAATTAAAGGTACTTGAAGTATTGTATGTACTTGCGGTTTCGTAAAAAAGTAAAGTTGTAAACTGGGTACTTAAAACTGTATCATTACGTATTATTATTAAACAATAAAACTGTACCAACTTGCATAGTTAAACAGCAGAAAGAAACAAAAACAATTGAAAGCAGATTTTATTAGTCATTTGTTAATTTAAAACTAAAATAAAAGAAATAAGAGTATTGAATGCAGTGTGTTGTTTTAAAAAAGTTTAACTGTGCGTTTGTAGGCAACATTTCTATCGCATCTTATTCGATGGTTTTAGGTGAACAGAGGAGGGAAAGCCTTTTCGAAAGGAATTAATGAAGGAGATTCTATTATATCTATTAATGATTGCAATTCGGCCAATTTAACAAACGCTGAAGCCCATGCATTGCTCAGAAAGTCCGAGAATTTTATGAAGTTAAGCATTAAAAAGTAAGTACTTACCTTATCTTTACTTTAATAATTCTTTTCGGAATTTCGTTGAAAACTTTTTTGTTAAGTAATCGTAAATTATTATCAAAAGAATTTACATTACATTTTCACCCTATGATATCTCCAAAAATCCATCTACAATAACATGCAATTAAAAATGTTAATATTCTGTCATTTCACTTTTTTGCATAACAGTTTTTATTAACTAATAATAATTCGTATGTCACTTGTTTCGTAATTTCTTTTTAATTAAGAATTTATCAGGGTCAAATGATAAAAAACTGGTGAAGTGCACCTTTTACCAAATCGCCTATAATAACTTCATTTATTTAATAAACGATTAATATTCAAGAATGTTAATGTGTAAATGTTTTCTTCCTAACATTTTTGAAGACAACTTTGCTACTGCGTCACGTTTGGTTTCATGATAGAATTATGCCAAAGACCCATTTTCGGTATGTTTGCAAACTTATAGACCTTAGTCTAAACTAACTTAAACTATATTTGCTAATTATTTTATGAATTTTTGCCATTGTCTTTCCGAACGCTAAAAAGCCAAACGATGGTTTTTATTTCAAGTTCATATTCTTCGATCTATCATTTGTTTCATAAAAAACAGACGATTACTGTCTTGTGCCATTTGTAAAAAGAACTGTCTATTTCTTTCGTTTATCATTTGTTTTAATAAATGACAAATAATTTTGTATTTACTCTTATCAATTGTTTCCTAAACCGTTTGATTCTTTTTTGTTCGTATGTCAGATTTTGTCTTTTTGTTTCCTGATTGAATGCGAACAAAAGTCTTGCATGCGGTAAAAACTTAATTACGAACATTACAATTAAAAAATCATGATCCAAAATTAGCAGTGTTAGCGAATGACGGATGATGCCTACCTAACAGTATATGATGTTCATACAGGTAATTAAGGTCACTACCTATTTGTAATACATAGAAGTTGATGTTCTTTTTTATTTTTTGTCATCTTGTTAACAGTTGCATCAATTTCAATTGAACAGTAAATAATTTAATGATGTAAGTGTATTATACGCACATACACAGGCAGTTATACCTATCGGTTGATTTGAATTATCATGCCTTACCCCCCTGACGTAATCCGTATACAATGGTGACCCTAAACTTTCTCGAGCGTGAATCCGCAAATTGACAACCGACAACTACATGCCACATTTACTTACTATGTACACCTCTCCTAAAAAAATGTCATGCAGATGATTTTAAATGGTCAGTAGTGCTATTGTATCACTCAATGTATCTTCAACCACTTCAAACTAAATATTGTAAGCATTAATCCAACAGGTGTTCGTATAATACATTACTGGTTGATTTTGTTTCGATTAGTTTTTGTTGAAAAAAAAAAGAACACACGCACATAAAAATTGTTTCATTTTGTTGCAGAAAATCCCAGAAATCGAAACGTTGTATTACGGAAAATAGTGCCGAATTTGTTGACACCCACAGGGCCTTTGAAATACCAAAAAGTGGTAAGAAATTGAATTAATTTTATCCCTAAAACATCTACCTATTGCCTTTTTTTTAAAACTGGAGTTAATTTTGTTTAAGCCACAGAAAAGTTTATTTATGTAGTTTTTTCGCTAAAAACAAATGAAAAAACGTATATTAATTGAATTTTCCGATTGATGTCGTTCTTTTTTTGTTTTATTATTGCAATTAGGAATATTACGTAAGTCTTTTTGGAATATAAGTACGTATCCTCGTTAAGATTGGATAGGTGTTCGGTACTATGAATAATCCTTTCTGCGAAATGGCAACAATTAGATCGGGTTTTTCTTTAACTTGTTATATCGGCCGTGGCTCGCTTCCAGTTCCTAAATTTAGGTATGCGGCAGATTCAAAAATAATTTTACAATTCATCGGTGGTCAACATCAGTAAGAAAACGTTCGTTAAAAAAGTGTCCGATAAAGCGAATCGGAAAAAAAATCATTTTCTGTTGTTTTACTTTAACTTCCTTTAAACACGATCAAACTACGCGACCTTTTGTCTTTTAGTTTTCATCGTTATTCTAGAGAAAAAGTTGAACGTCTATTATGACAATCGACGGAGAAAAGAAAATTAAAAACAATTAGCTATTGAAACACGACGACGTTTTATTATTATTTAAATATTTGTGTTAAAATTACGGTAAGATTCTTTCTTGATTACTTAAAACCTACTTTGTGTGGCATTGTAAATTTTAGTATGATTTTTATTTGTCAAAATGCACGTTGTGAACTGTATATACTTGAGTATAATAAGTATTTTTGTAGTCGTTTGCGTGAGTTGAGTCAGGCGCCTACTTATTTTTTTTGGCAAGATTTTAAACTAAATTTACTTTCTCGCCTCTGAATAAGTTTAACGTTCTGTGCTTTACAGTGTTTATTATTAACTAATAGACGGTAATCCTGATTTTACACGTATTTTGTTGCATGCAATCAAGGAAGCTACCCGTTTTGTTTGTCATACAACTTTGTTTCGTTTTATAGGTAGTTTCATTTTTGTTTATTTTGATTTTCTGTTTTGTGTTCTGTTATACAATCGCCGCCTTTTGTTTCTGAGATACTGAAGAAATATTGTTTGCTGTAGTATGTACTTTTGTTTTTAATGCATTTGTTTGGCTCATTGTGGGTTTGTTTGATTTTTTTTTGTATTTAGACGTTTGAGATCAAATAGCCTATAGATACATATATCGTTTGACCTGAAAAGTCTTAGAGGTTCATTTCCCCGTGAAATCAGATCCATTAGGTAATTAAATTGTTCCGTTTTGTTCTCCATCAGCTAAAGGTAGGTATATAGACATATAAAATGTACATAGGACGATATGAATCAAGGCATATTTAATATAGAGTAGAGGTTCCCTATTGCGCGCCCTTTTATTTATTTCACATTTATACTATATACTTAGGCGGCACACCCTTCTACTTAAGTCTTTCTGTATGAATGCTTTTAGAGGTTTTTTTATTGTATAAACACAGTCTACCGAGAGGAACCTCTTGTGATTCGTACCAGTCTTATATTTACGCGCGTGTTTTACGTAGTAAAACAGATGAAAGTTTAAGTAGATACAATACAGCTTCATTTTTTTTATCGAAAAAGCGAAATAATCAAATACAATGTGTAGTGGCTGGTGTACAAACTATAACAATGAAATTTTCTCTGCTTCTTTGTCGTAAAAGAAAGAAGAGGAATTTTTGCGCTCGAAACGTTGGAAGTTACAGAAAAGGAAGCGAAGTTGTAACAAATATACATGTAAAGGGATTTTTTAGAGCGCTTCGTAGCGAGGGTACGTACTCCAAATGTTTTAATAGTCGAAGTATTAAACACGTATTAAATGCAATTAATTGAGTTTTCATTCGAATTAAAATCATAATACGTTAACATACATATGCCATGAGTAAAAGTGGAACATGTTGGTAACTTTTCAAATTAAATTGTGTCCGGTTTTACGAATGCATGTAGAATTGCGATTTTATGCTTGTAGGAATTACGGTAATTATAATAAATATACACATTTACGATTAATTAATCCAATACGTCAATTTATTAGACGAAAATCTCAGTAAAAAGTTTTAAAAAGGACTAACTAATCTTAAAAAAGAAACAGTTGCTTCCTTTCTTGGATCAATTGTTTAACACTAATCTTAAACAAAAAGCAGTTGCTTTCTCTTTTGTATCAATTGTTTTAATACTTTTGTCAAAACTTTAAAAACTTCTTTTATCATTTGTTTAATATTTAAATTTACTTATTTAATCCTGCAAGGATTCAGGAGCTCGCGATCTCTAATCCTTTTAGATACAATTCAGATAAACAATTTGGTAATTAAATATGTATGTAATAAGCATTTAGAATGCGAAATTAAGTTGGTTTGCGTCAAGGTACGATATGACTACTCAATTTATTTTACAAACAATATGGTAAGAGGTTTAAGGAGTGGGCTCATGGTTGGATGATCGGAATCAAGCCGCTCCCCTATATATCCTAATATAGTTCCTCAATTTCCAACATGCGGAAGAGCTACCGGCAACAATGAATCTTATTATATGCATCTACTATTTAATGAGAATTTTGCTCTCACACGACAAACTCGATTATATGCTTAGCATGACACGTTCGTCTCAAACCAAAGCCGACCGTGATTAAAAAATTTATTATGCCTATCATGTATGTATTAACTTTTGTTTTTTTGTGAAACATTTGCGCACATATTTTAGTAGTTTCAGTTGTTGTAGGAACTTCAAAATCGTAAAATTTGCTTTTGAATTTAGGAAATAGTTTTGTAATGATGTAAGGCGGAAACTGATCGGACCCAATCAATTATTTACGTATGTAGTTGCGTTTCCTCTTTGGACAATTAATTTAGACCGGAAGTTCCAAACCGTAATGAATTGCTCGCACATAACATACCTACCTGTATAAATATGTTTATGTTAATTCAGGTCGAAGAAATTTTTTCTTTGTTCTGATCGATCGGTTTGATCGATTGATTGATTGAATTCAAAGGGAAATTACTGGGCAATTTTTTGATTGTAAATTTATCGCTACCGTGTCCATAAAATCTGTATGTATTAAGTAGGCCATGTAGGCTAAGCATTTGTATAAATGAATGCTTTGCATTATCCTTTAGTAACTTTTGTTTATACTTAGATCACAACTTTCAATTCAATTTTGGTATCCCATTCATTAAATTTCGATTAGGTATATATTACTGTTTTTCAGTTTTCCATTTTCAAAAAAAAAAAGTTAACTTTTAGGCTGGTAACATTAGCAATTTTATCCTAGTTAATCGTTAAATTCGTTCTTACCTATGATACGCATATAAATGTCTGTTATTAAAATAATAATTGCCTTTTCTTTTGTTTTAGATAACACACAGACAATACAAACGAATCCGTTCGACGAAATAAACGAAAATTCAACTTTATCGTCCGATAAAACTTCAAATCAGTCTCAAGCTTCAACTCTAGAAGGTATGACATTGTAACCGTTTTAAGAAATTGTTACTTTTCGAGGCGTTCGTCATTTGTTTCCTACAGGGAACGTAAGGGATTACATTATTAAATGTATCTCCTTAATTCGTAGCATTTATTGGTGGTAGACAGGGGATGTGGCGTTGTTGTTAAACGTTCTGACATCTCTATTTGTTTAAAAATGTTATTTTGATTCCATTCGTCATTCCATGGACGTACAAAAGCAGAAATTCTTTACGTATTATCAACGGACCCATCTTCTATACTAATAGTAAACATCTCGTCGCGTTTGTGTTTAAATTTGTTTTGGTATTTAATACGTAACGCTCCAAGCAATCTGTATCATCTGGAGTATCATCAGATCTCTCTGTTTGTTTGAAATGGAATTCAATCGGGCTTCTGTTAATTCGAGTTTACTACGTGGCTAAGCCCAATAAGAACGGATCCACCAAGCGTTACTTCACAAGAATTATTTACCAAATAAAGTATGTGTATACGAGGGTGGATTGATAAGTTTCCGGCCTGACCAAGAAAAACAAGGTTTTTAAAAATTTTTTTTTTTTATTTCTCAACATAATCTCCTCCAAGGCTGATACATTTCTCATAGCGGTGTTCCAGTCTATTAATGCCATCTCTATAGACTGATTCGTCAAGCTCCTCAAAATAACCATTTACAGCTTCGATTACTTCTTCATTGTCCGCAAATCTCTTACCGCCAAGCCATTTTTTGAGATTAGGGAACAGAAAATAGTCACTCGGGGCTAGGTCTGGAGAGTAAGGAGGGTGCGGCATCAATTCAAACTTTAGATCGTTGATTTTAGCCGTCGCAACGATTGACGTGTGCGCTGGTGCGTTATCGTGATGAAACAAGATTTTTTTCTTCGCCAGATGAGGTCGTTTAATTTTCACCTCGTGGCTCAAACGTTGCAATAAGTCTGCGTAGTATTGACCAGTGATAGTATTACCCTTTGCAAGGTAATCAATGTATATAATACCTCTTGCATCCCAAAAAACAGTAGCCATAACCTTGTTCGCCGAAAAAATTGTTTTTGCCTTCTTTGGAGTTGGTTCCCCTGGTCCAATCCACTGTTTAGACTGTTCTTTGGTTTCAGGAGTGTAGTGGTGGACCCACGTTTCGTCAACGGTTACGAATCGACGCAAAAATTCGCTTGGATTACGCTTATACAATGACAAATTTGCGGTAGAAATGTTTTTTCGAATCAATTTTTGGTCGACTGTTAGCAAACGCGGCACCCATCTTGCACAGAGCTTTTCCATATGCAAATGTTGGTGCAAAATATGTTGCACACGTTCATATGACATCTTACAGGTCTCAGCTATCTCACGCACTTTCAATCTGCGGTCTCCCAGCACTATTTGATGAATTTTTTCGATCATATCTGGAGTTGTGACCTCAACGGGGCGTCCTGAGCGAGGCCCATCAGAGGTGCTCACACGACCCTTTTTAAACTCGGAAACCCACTGCTTAACGGTTGAATATGACGGGGAGGATGTCCCCAGTGTTGAGTCCATCTCTTTTTTAATTTCCTTCGGCGTTAACCCCTTCAAATAAAAGTATTTGATGACAGCACGATTTTCCTGCTTTTCCATTTTTACGAAAACCACAGAGGCGTCTTGTTCAGCGTGCTGTCAAACCTACACTAGCAAGGAGATCGGGCTGAAACTATAGCTACAAGCTATCCAAGGATGGTACTATAGAATGTCACCTCAAGGTAGGCCTAGTGGCGTCATCTCTTGGTTAGGCCGGAAACTTATCAATCCACCCTCGTACATCAGAGATGCGATTTGAAAATTGAAATCAGCACCTGCCAAATCACTACTTATTGTACCTTTAGCAAGAAACTACGAAATTGTATGAATTACGACAAAACAGCCCTCAAAACAATATCGAATTGATATGCGCCAGTTGTGTTAAACTGAAAACCACAAGATATTGTGCTGTGCTAATAAATGCCTATAATCCAAAATTCTTACAAAAAGGTTTGAAAAACTTCACTTGTTAGATGAACCCAAGGCTAAAGAAACTATGGATTCCATTTCTTTCTCGTATTACAATGTGTAAAAAACATTAGAAACAAAATGGGGTTGTAAATATTTTGATATAAAATGATTGATGTTGATTTTACTTCAATTAAATTATTTGCAACCCTATTTTGGCTCTGATCTTTAACGCTAAACAAACTAGTTTGGCATCAGTGTCTTTTTTCCAATCAAAACGGGTGACAAAGGCAAATAAGGAAGCATACAGAAGAATTATTTGTTGCTGAACTGAAGAAACAATAACATAAAGATAGAAAAACTATATCTCAATCACTTCAAACAGAAAAATATGAATCATACTCAATCTTCGCAGCTGGTGATATACTGCAAACACCACTATTAGTCTAGAAAAACTACAATATTTAAAAAATGAAAAAAACACCTGCAAGCTTTTCTTAAAAAATATTTTATAATTAAGCAAAATTAGAAAATTAAATGGGTACTACAAAAAAGTATTTATTTGAAAAACGAATTTTGAAAATACGTATTTTGCATTTAGCATTTAAAATACAAAAGGGAAATCTATTTTGTATTTTGCATTTGAAATCACAAATCAAAAAAGTATTTGAATTTTGTATTTAAATACTTTCAAAAAAACATCTCTGGTAAACATACCTACTGTATAGGTACAAAGTCAAAGTAGCAATCCAAATTTACAAAATCGCCCAGAAACTTTAGTGTTTCCAGGTAGATATCTACTTAATAATTAATACACAAGTTACGTCAATTGTACGAGTTCAAGTTCGTAGGAAATCTAATTATTATTAGAGTATCTGTGTATCATATTAGCGAGTATTGTCCCCCCCCACTCGTTCATTTGAAATTGCAGTTATCAAGGCTAATAAAGATCAGGAGTCGAAATGCTCGCTGGCACCGGTTACGTCGTCGTCGTCGTCGTCAAGCGGCGACTGTTTCTCGACTGATAATAGCCCCGTCATTACAACTGATAACGCGATGGCGAAGAAACGTCGAAGAAAATCCCGACAGAACAACGGCAACGGCAGCAATATGAGCCCGGCGACTTCTTCTTCCGGTAGCACAGTCGATCAACTTCCGCAAGCCGAATTGAAACCAGAACAACAAACCACAACGAATTTTTGTGATACTATCGAAGAATACAATCAGGCGTCAGAAACAGTTGAATGTGATAACGACAACGCGGTGATAAGCGACCGAAACGTTCCTGAGGGAAAAACAACGAAATTGTGTGAATTTAGTGAAAGTGATAATTTTTCAAGTACGAATCTTTGCGATGGTGACGGCCAAAAGTCGAAACTTTCGGGTAACTCTCTTCTTCATTATAAGGTAGAGTTCCCTGACGTACAACGGCGATCGCCGAAACAAAAGAGCCCCTCTATTACGAAAAGTAGAAGCTTGGATGACGACGACGTGCCTAAAATAACCGAAATATCGGAATCCATCGGACTCGAAGAAGATAACAAACACTTGTCGCATTCGCAAAACTTCACCGTTTCAACCGTGGACTCGGAAGTTGAATGGGAGAGCGGCGACGACCTCCAGGACCTTCCGCCCATACAACCTCCGAAAGAATTTCTTAGTACTGCATCCTTGCAAATAGAGGAAGACCTGGGCGTAGCCGAAACGTCCCGGATATCGCCCGAAGAGGAAAAGAACCTCAGGGATTTCCTGGGGGGCCTGAATCTCGTCAATTCCCCGCAAGATGAAGCGTCTTCGGATAAAGAAAACTACAAGGAGAGAAAGGCCAAGAAGAGGGCTGCCATCGTGCAACATTTCATCCCTTATATGCAACAGCCGAAGTTTCTGGACGTCATCCAGGAAGAGTCCAGTGACGTAAGCGACAAGGAATCGAAAACGAAATCGCCCAATCGTAATTCCGGTAAGAAATCGCCGGAACGTCCGGTGCTTCTCGAAACCAAGGTGACCTATCCCGACGTCTTCGGCGCGGAAATCATTAACACGTCGGTGGCAGAATCGAGCTCGGACGCGGAACTGGTATTTTTGGACGACAGCGACGACGACGACGACGAAGAAGAAAAAAACGTAAAAATAAATCCTCTGTTGTCGCAACTGACGCCTCCGCCTACTCCCGACGTCACCCCGAAAGAGGCGCTTCCCGGCGACGATAATAATCAACCTAATAAAATAATTAGGTCCGATTCACACTCGCCGTCCTCCTGCAGCGACACGTCTCAGTGCACGGCCAAGTACAACCCGTCGTCTTCCATTGGAGACGTAACGTCTCTCCTGCAAGACGAACTTCCGGTTGTGACTTCGCACCGTTATCAGCCTAACACTCTCAGAGAGATCTGCCTGACGAAACTCGTGTCTCTGCCGTTCGGATCGGAAATAATTGAAGAACTGGCATCGGTGGCCGAGGCCATCCAAAACATGACCACTTTCAATGTCCAAAAGCTGCACTCGGACGTGAAGTTCAAAAGAGTGCGACCGTTCTTACAAAAACTGAACAGCAAGGAGGAAGACGACGAGAACAGCGAGGGATCGGTCGTCAAATGGTGCGGGTTCCCCACGGAGAACGACCCGAACGTTTTGGTGTGCCTGTCGCCGACGCAAAGGGCGTATTTGGACACCACCAGGAAGATACCCCATGAAGGCGACAGGCTCCTGGACATGCACGCGAAATTCTTGAACCGATGTCGATCGTACGACAAAGAGCCCGACATCGACTCAGGCCAAGTGGTTTTAACGTCCGTGCGGCAATCAAATGGTCAACGTACCTCGGCCCCTGACGACAGAGCGAACTCTAACGAGTTGACGATGACTAACAGACTTTTGGCAATCATCCGAGATTCGGACAAACGACGGGCAGAATTAGAAAATTGCAACTATAACAAGTGCGAACCGTCCAGGAATTTCACGTTGCCACGCACCAGATCCGAAGAGGAGGATAGCTGTTGCGCACCTGCTGTCGCGGATCCCGAAGGACGAAGACTGAAAGCGAAAAATTTAAGCGAGTGGCTGCAGTTGGCCCGCGACAAGAGCTCCAGCGAAACGAAATTGGACAAGATGGAAGAGTACAATCGCCAGGCAGAAATTAACAACAATAACAGAAACGAAAAAGCTACCAGACGCTTGTCTCTACCCTACGACATCTATCAGCGTCAAATAGAGTACATAAGAGAGAAGGAGATCGAATTGCAGAGAGAGATCGAACAACTCGAAGAAGAGAAACGCAAGCTTTTCGTGGAAATGGTCGAAAATCAAAAGGAAACCCCAGTTAACAAGTCTTCTCCGCCCCAACCGCCCCTGCGCAACGCGTCGACAAAAGATCGTCCGAAATCAACCCCGATGGCTCCAACCGAGTTCTTCAGGCAACAGATGTATGAGGAGTACATGAGTCAGGTGGCCGCCCGAAAAGACCGAAAACATAACAAGGTCATCAAAATTTCGTCCCCTCCTCATGACCATCATCATCAAGAGGAAGAACAACTGCAGCAAACCCGGGTTTCGGCCGAAGTCATTCATGTGCCCGGGATCGAAGAAGAATTCATGGACAAGGTGAAAGAAAAACGGAGAAAATATGGCCTGCAAAAAGATGACAGCGGCGAAGATGGTGGTGGCAAGAAGACGGTGGACAGTATCGATATGGGCCAAGAAACCGACAGTGAACCTGTGCTAGTTCTAAACGGGGACTCGATATCGACGGCTAAAGGGTTGCCCAAACATCTCCAGGAATTCGTGTCGATCACGAAAGACGCCGAGGAATCCGGCGAAGAAACGGACACAGGGGGTGAGTTCATATTGTTCAAACTTTGCGTTTTGTTGTAACCCTTCACTAAATATTTATTACCTATTCATGCTCAGAATTTGTTATTGCCAGAACCGGACTCGCATAAGTAATATTTACATACGTATATTATGCACTCAATTACAACTTTCAGTCCGGCTCTGTTCGAATTTGTTACTACCCTACTGTTGCTGTTGTTGTATACTTTTTGTTTGTAATTTTGTAAATAATAAAGGCTATTAACAACTACTGACATTTGTTTTGTTTTCACAAGTGTCACGCACACTCCTGTAGTTGGATGCATTTCTGAGCGTGAAAAGTTAGCGAGCATGGTCGTGTTTTGTCTTTTTTTTGTTGTTGTTTTTATTAATAATACTGTTTAGTGTTTCGTTGTTTTATTAACAAAATTCGTATTAGATACTCAAAACAAAACAGGATAGGAGTAGATTCTGTTCTGTTTTATTCTTTCTCTTTAGCAGCAAATGATATTTTACCTTTGCTTTTAATATCTACTATTGACCGAGAAATTACAACGTAAATTAGGAACAATTCAGATCTGTTATTTATACGCTGTACTTTTGTTTTTCCGGTAAATTGGTTTTAACCTTTGAAAATGTGAAATTCGAGGGTCACGCAATGCTGTAACAACACTGACCCTGAATGAAAGCTACGTTTCAAGGTTTTAAAATAAATAAAAATGTGCAATACTGCAATAATAATATTCTTTTGTCAATCTTATTGTAACGACTGCAAATCTTATGGGAATTGCCGAACGAAACAATTGCTCAAGAAAAAAAGAAGAAACAGAAGAGTGCAGCGTTAACTCATCAGTCGATTGTTTTTTTTTTTATTATGTATACTTGATATTAGGCTTTATTATGTCATGATAAGAAGCTATAAGCTTATTATTCTTATCAAATACATCCTTGGAGATAATTATTGTTATTAACAAGTTGCCATCAGATGATGATAGTGTTGTGTAGGAGATAATGCTTGTAAATTACTGTAACAAGTAGAAACAACTGCGCTGACGTTACAAAAATGAAGTGACCGATAAACACGAGTATTTTTACCGGCGTTAAGTATTATTGCGTACATGCCGGCAATGTTTAAACAAATATATCTTATGACTATATGTATTTTGCGACTTATTAGCAAATTGGCTATGTTTAAACCCACATGTTTACTTATGTATATGTACAAATTATGCAACAAGTNAATTGTACGAGTTCAAGTTCGTAGGAAATCTAATTATTATTAGAGTATCTGTGTATCATATTAGCGAGTATTGTCCCCCCCCACTCGTTCATTTGAAATTGCAGTTATCAAGGCTAATAAAGATCAGGAGTCGAAATGCTCGCTGGCACCGGTTACGTCGTCGTCGTCGTCGTCAAGCGGCGACTGTTTCTCGACTGATAATAGCCCCGTCATTACAACTGATAACGCGATGGCGAAGAAACGTCGAAGAAAATCCCGACAGAACAACGGCAACGGCAGCAATATGAGCCCGGCGACTTCTTCTTCCGGTAGCACAGTCGATCAACTTCCGCAAGCCGAATTGAAACCAGAACAACAAACCACAACGAATTTTTGTGATACTATCGAAGAATACAATCAGGCGTCAGAAACAGTTGAATGTGATAACGACAACGCGGTGATAAGCGACCGAAACGTTCCTGAGGGAAAAACAACGAAATTGTGTGAATTTAGTGAAAGTGATAATTTACCGAATACTACGACGAATGTTTGCGATTCCACGGCAGAAGATGGTGACGGTCAAAAGTCGAAACTTTCCGGCGACTCTCTTCTTCATTATAAGGTAGAGTTCCCTGACGTACAACGGCGATCGCCGAAACAAAAGAGCCCCTCTATTACGAAAAGTAGAAGCTTGGATGACGACGACGTGCCTAAAATAACCGAAATATCGGAATCCATCGGACTCGAAGAAGATAACAAACACTTGTCGCATTCGCAAAACTTCACCGTTTCAACCGTGGACTCGGAAGTTGAATGGGAGAGCGGCGACGACCTCCAGGACCTTCCGCCCATACAACCTCCGAAAGAATTTCTTAGTACTGCATCCTTGCAAATAGAGGAAGACCTGGGCGTAGCCGAAACGTCCCGGATATCGCCCGAAGAGGAAAAGAACCTCAGGGATTTCCTGGGGGGCCTGAATCTCGTCAATTCCCCGCAAGATGAAGCGTCTTCGGATAAAGAAAACTACAAGGAGAGAAAGGCCAAGAAGAGGGCTGCCATCGTGCAACATTTCATCCCTTATATGCAACAGCCGAAGTTTCTGGACGTCATCCAGGAAGAGTCCAGTGACGTAAGCGACAAGGAATCGAAAACGAAATCGCCCAATCGTAATTCCGGTAAGAAATCGCCGGAACGTCCGGTGCTTCTCGAAACCAAGGTGACCTATCCCGACGTCTTCGGCGCGGAAATCATTAACACGTCGGTGGCAGAATCGAGCTCGGACGCGGAACTGGTATTTTTGGACGACAGCGACGACGACGACGACGAAGAAGAAAAAAACGTAAAAATAAATCCTCTGTTGTCGCAACTGACGCCTCCGCCTACTCCCGACGTCACCCCGAAAGAGGCGCTTCCCGGCGACGATAATAATCAACCTAATAAAATAATTAGGTCCGATTCACACTCGCCGTCCTCCTGCAGCGACACGTCTCAGTGCACGGCCAAGTACAACCCGTCGTCTTCCATTGGAGACGTAACGTCTCTCCTGCAAGACGAACTTCCGGTTGTGACTTCGCACCGTTATCAGCCTAACACTCTCAGAGAGATCTGCCTGACGAAACTCGTGTCTCTGCCGTTCGGATCGGAAATAATCGAAGAACTGGCATCGGTGGCCGAGGCCATCCAAAACATGACCACTTTCAATGTCCAAAAGCTGCACTCGGACGTGAAGTTCAAAAGAGTGCGACCGTTCTTACAAAAACTGAACAGCAAGGAGGAAGACGACGAGAACAGCGAGGGATCGGCCATCAAATGGTGCGGGTTCCCCACGGAGAACGACCCGAACGTTTTGGTGTGCCTGTCGCCGACGCAAAGGGCGTATTTGGACACCACCAGGAAGATACCCCATGAAGTCGACAGGCTCCTGGACATGCACGCGAAATTCTTGAACCGATGTCGATCGTACGACAAAGAGCCCGACATCGACTCAGGCCAAGTGGTTTTAACGTCCGTGCGGCAATCAAATGGTCAACGTACCTCGGCCCCTGACGACAGAGCGAACTCTAACGAGTTGACGATGACTAACAGACTTTTGGCAATCATCCGAGATTCGGACAAACGACGGGCAGAATTAGAAAATTGCAACTATAACAAGTGCGAACCGTCCAGGAATTTCACGTTGCCACGCACCAGATCCGAAGAGGAGGATAGCTGTTGCGCACCGGCTGTCGCGGATCCCGAAGGACGAAGACTGAAAGCGAAAAATTTAAGCGAGTGGCTGCAGTTGGCCCGCGACAAGAGCTCCAGCGAAACGAAATTGGACAAGATGGAAGAGTACAATCGCCAGGCAGAAATTAACAACAATAACAGAAACGAAAAAGCTACCAGACGCCTGTCTCTACCCTACGACATCTATCAGCGTCAAATAGAGTACATAAGAGAGAAGGAGATCGAATTGCAGAGAGAGATCGAACAACTCGAAGAAGAGAAACGCAAGCTTTTCGTGGAAATGGTCGAAAATCAAAAGGAAACCCCAGTTAACAAGTCTTCCCCGCCCCAACCGCCCCTGCGCAACGCGTCGACAAAAGATCGTCCGAAATCAACCCCTATGGCTCCAACCGAGTTCTTCAGGCAACAGATGTATGAGGAGTACATGAGTCAGGTGGCCGCCCGAAAAGACCGGAAACATAACAAGGTCATCAAAATTTCGTCCCCTCCTCATGACCATCATCATCAAGAGGAAGAACAACTGCAGCAAACCCGGGTTTCGGCCGAAGTCATTCATGTACCCGGGATCGAAGAAGAATTCATGGACAAGGTGAAAGAAAAACGAAAAAAATTTGGCCTGCAAAAGGATGACAGCGGCGAAGATGGTGGTGGCAAGAAGACGGTGGACAGTATCGATATGGGCCAAGAAACAGACAGTGAACCTGTGCTAGTTCTAAACGGGGACTCGATATCGACGGCTAAAGGGTTGCCCAAACATCTCCAGGAATTCGTGTCGATCACGAAAGACGCCGAGGAATCCGGCGAAGAAACGGACACAGGGGGTGAGTTCATATTGTTCAAACTTTGCGTTTTGTTGTAACCCTTCACTAAATATTTATTACCTATTCATGCTCAGAATTTGTTATTGCCAGAACCGGACTCGCATAAGTAATATTTACATACGTATATTATGCACTCAATTACAACTTTCAGTCCGGCTCTGTTCGAATTTGTTACTACCCTACTGTTGCTGTTGTTGTATACTTTTTGTTTGTAATTTTGTAAATAATAAAGGCTATTAACAACTACTGACATTTGTTTTGTTTTCACAAGTGTCACGCACACTCCTGTAGTTGGATGCATTTCTGAGCGTGAAAAGTTAGCGAGCATGGTCGTGTTTTGTCTTTTTTTTGTTGTTGTTTTTATTAATAATACTGTTTAGTGTTTCGTTGTTTTATTAACAAAATTCGTATTAGATACTCAAAACAAAACAGGATAGGAGTAGATTCTGTTCTGTTTTATTCTTTCTCTTTAGCAGCAAATGATATTTTACCTTTGCTTTTAATATCTACTATTGACCGAGAAATTACAACGTAAATTAGGAACAATTCAGATCTGTTATTTATACGCTGTACTTTTGTTTTTCCGGTAAATTGGTTTTAACCTTTGAAAATGTGAAATTCGAGGGTCACGCAACGCTGTAACAACACTGACCCTGAATGAAAGCTACGTTTCAAGGTTTTAAAATAAATAAAAATGTGCAATACTGCAATAATAATATTCTTTTGTCAATCTTATTGTAACGACTGCAAATCTTATGGGAATTGCCGAACGAAACAATTGCTCAAGAAAAAAAGAAGAAACAGAAGAGTGCAGCGTTAACTCATCAGTCGATTGTTTTTTTTTTTATTATGTATACTTGATATTAGGCTTTATTATGTCATGATAAGAAGCTATAAGCTTATTATTCTTATCAAATACATCCTTGGAGATAATTATTGTTATTAACAGGTTGCCATCAGATGATGATAGTGTTGTGTAGGAGATAATGCTTGTAAATTACTGTAACAAGTAGAAACAACTGCGCTGACGTTACAAAAATGAAGTGACCGATAAACACGAGTATTTTTACCGGCGTTAAGTATTATTGCGTACATGCCGGCAATGTTTAAACAAATATATCTTATGACTATATGTATTTTGCGACTTATGAGCAAATTGGCTATGTTTAAACCCACATGTTTACTTATGTATATGTACAAATTATGCAACAAGTATCTACAATCGCAATTGAAGAGAAACAATTGATGTTTCTTTTTTTTGTTTTTAAGGCCAAGTTCAGACAAACGCGCGTTCGACGCGATGCTCTTTAAATCTAACTTTTATTCTCCTACGGGTTTGACCTATGTATTGTTGACCGCTATTTTTACATTTAATGGTACCTACTATAAATTGCTGCTTTATCTCTTTATCTACTTGTCTCGTCTGCTACTTTTTTTCTGTTTTCGTATTTAATAAAAGTCTAATTGCGCTCTAGTATTCGTTACACAAATTGTATAATAGTTATTATAATTGACTCCATCCTCCGCTGTTCTGTCTGGATCGTTCTTGTTTTTATTGTCGTCCTTGACTATGACATAATAATGGTGGTCTATTATTTGTTTTAGAGTCATTAACGACAATTACAGTTAACATTTCACCTCATGTATATTAATAATAAAACTCTTCACGTCCACGTAGTTTTAAAATATGTCTCATTTTTCTCTCGAGTTCTTTTACACGAATAATTAATAATTTTTTATTGACTGCTTTTTACTTTTTATTGTTTTCGGTAGGGTTTAACAGGAGAAAACGGGATGCCGATAAAATAAAGAAATGTCTTAGTAAAAATCGAAGAAGTCGAAGTTTCAGTGAGTTTGGAAGTCTGCTACATGAAATTGATAGTTTGCTTGTTTTGGGAAAGGGGTTTTTGTTTGAAAAAGGTTGGTTTTGTATTATATTATTATTATTTTTTCTTTAACTATAATAACACACAGTTCTAGGGATATTGTTTGTTGTACATAAATATCTAGTATAAGTAATTTACTAAACAACTCTCATTAGTTACTTAATAAAACTATTGTGTATATATGTCAAACAAAAACACTGTTATTCAAGGGAAGAAAAAGTAGGGAAAAGGTGAAAGGAAGATTAGAAGAAGTGGCTGATATCTAGGAAGTCAGATAAGTCAGGTGGGAAGTAGTAGTAGGAGTATATAAAGCAGAGGATAGCGCAGGGTCGAGTCGCCTTCAATAAAAAAAGAAGTCACTTCTATGCTCGCGAACGGTTAATTTAGAAATTCGAAAAAGGTTGTTGAAAGTGTATGTTTGGAGCGCGGCGTTGTACGGGTGCGAAACATGGACAGTGGGCGCGGCGGAAAAGAAAAGGTTAGAAGCTTTCGAAATGTGGTGTTATAGGCGGATGATGAGGATAACGTAGGTAGAAAAGGTTAGAAATGAAGAGGTATTGGAAAGAATAGGAGAACAGAGGACTCTATGGAAGTCAATAAAAAATAGGCGAGATAGGTTGGTAGGACACCTTCTCAGGCAT